ACAACACACTCTGCCTCACTGAGATACTAAGCTATTATCTTCTGTTGGTTTAAAATAGCCTGGCTTTTGTTTTTCAAATGATTTCTAGAGGAAAGGATGGTAGGGCAGAGAAAGAATGAATGACCAGGCCCCCCTGCTTAATCAACATCTCTTTCTCCCTCATCACTCCTTTAGGATCTGCTCCTTTACTGAGCCCACCATGGATCATTTTGTCCCTGGAGTCCCAGGAAAGCCAGGAAGGCTGCAGGAGTGCCAAGCCCTGGATTTTCCAGGGGCATCAGCAACAGAGCTGCTTTCAATTACAGATCTCTATTCGTGGCCATGACACAAGAGGCCCAGGGGTCCAGGAGGTGTTCTGGGTGGCACAGTCGATGGGGCTTGCTGGGTAAACAAAGGACACCACCAGCGCAAGTGTGGATTGAGATGGAGCTCACCTGTAACCTCCTTCTCCCCTTCTACAGTCAAGTGCTTCTGTGGGCCAACCCTATTAAAGCCAATTCCCAAAGAACTCCTGCTTTCCCCTCTCTACTTTTCCAGAGCTGGTGGTGCAGTGGGTAAGCACTCCACTGCTACCCCAAAGGTTAGTGGTTTGAATCCTCTGGCAGTTCAAATCCTCCAGCTGCTCCATGGAATAAAGATGTGGCAGTCTGCTTCCATAAAGATTCCAGCCTTAGAAGCCCTGTGGGTCACTTCTACTCTGTCATATAGGGTTGCTATGAGTTAGAATTCACTTGGCAGCAATGTTTTTTTTTTTTTTTTTTTTTTTGGAGGTCCTGTCATGCCTTAGCCTCACTTTGAGCAAGCCAAACTTCTAAGCTTTTCCATTTGGTGGACACTGGGGCTTTCATGGTGAACCTTGCCTGGGGACACAAGGAAAAATAGATTAACGGGATTGTCTCCCTACCCCTACCTTTCCCCGTTTAGTTTTACAAAAGGACTGAACTCTCCTTCTGCCTGGAACTTGGTCCCTCTCAGAGTCCGAATGCTCAGGGAGCTGGTGGCTGTGAGCTTCCTTTCCTTTGGAGCCTAGCATCTCCAGCCACAAGAGGCCAGGATGCAGGAGTGATATAGAACAGACAAAGAGTGCAAACAGGATGGCATTACCATGCTAATGGCCCAGGCGGCCTCCTGAAGATGCTGGGAAGGTTTTCTTTCACTTTTTTTTTTACAAAAGGAGAATAGTTCTGCTTTCTATTTTGCTACAACAATAGCATGGAACGGCTCCTTCAAGTGTGTCAAAAAGCAGCCTGAGAAATCTCAAACCAGCCCCTCATCTCTCCAGCCTGCCGTTTTATTGTTCCCCCATCCCAGTGAACAAAGAGGAGGGAAGGGTATAAGGCCTCCAGTTGCTAGCTGTTCTCAGCATCCTAATCCTTGAGAATCTGTGAGGGGAATGGCCTGTGGAGCCGGTAAATCAAATTTACCTCACCTTTTATTTCCTCTCCTTATTCATACGCTCAGGAGCTCTTCAGGTATTATAAGGCCTCCTGGTTAGCAGGCCTGTAGGAATCCTGGGACTTGCCACGGGGGTTGGGACTTGCTAGGGGAATAAGAGGCACTGATGGACCATTCCCACATCCACCAACAATCCCTTCTTCACTCCCCACTTTCCTCCCCAGTACTAGCCTGTAGGGATGGTTCTTTCCCACTCTTCTAAGCTGGCTCCATCACAGACTGAAATGGCAAGGCACAAGTAGGCGGACAGTTCCTCCTTTAGTTGGTACTACAGGGGCTTCCTTCTCTCTTGTAACCCTTCCCTCACTGTCTCTATGCCCTCAGACATGGATATGGCCCCAGAGCCAGCACCACCCTCCGTACTAACTTGGAGCTATCATGCTAGTTCAAACCCTCACATGAAGAAGCCTTCTTGGCCTCTGACTGCTGGTGCCTTTCCAAGGTCACTCACTACCCAGGAATCAAAGATTTCTTTGCTTCAAACTTAGGGAATGGTGCAGGTGTCTTTTAGCTCTGTCAGGTGGTGAGCATGGAAAACAAGCACAACAACCACAACAACAACCTTTTACATTCCAGTGTGTGGAGATCGCAAAGGTATAGCTCTACTAGGCTAAGTGAATGTTAAATACACCACCTCCTAAGAGAATCAGATAAAGCTGAGATGAGAAAGCCACTAGAGATCACCCAGGCTTGGTTAGTACAATCCAAGTAAGAAAGACATTTTACATTGCAACCCTCATGCACAAACTCACAATTCACACACACATATACACATACTTACTCATTCACACAGCAAGCATTTAATGGAATAGTACGGTATGTGTGATAGAATCTGGTATTTTCTATTCACCTCTATTTCATTTTTAAAAAATGCTGGTTGTGACCCATTATTGATTTCATGACCCATCAATGGGTTGCAACAAGTTTGAAAAGCAGTGAATCAAGACCAATATTTTTATTTCCAAGCTAACAAAACTTAGGCCCCGAAGATTTTCTCAAGAGCATGCCAGTGCTGGAATTGAAATCCAAAGGTTCTTTCTGATAAAAAAGGGCCTCCATTTAAAATTTTTTTTTTTTTTTTCAGCTGAAGCTGCAGTTGCAACTCCATTGTAGGTCTGTCCTTATTACTTACTTTTTTTTTTTTAAATGTGATTTGGGTGAAAGTTTACAGAGCGAATTGGTTTACCACTCAACAATTCATTCACATTTTGTGTTGTGACATTCACTGCAACCCCCACAGTGTAAGAGCACTCTTCCCACTTCCTCCTTGGTTTCCCATTTCCCTTCATCCTTCTTTCCCACCCCTTCCTACCTTCTGAGCTCTATCCCTGGGCAAAGGCCACCTTTCTGATCTTGCATGGTTGACTGTTTTAATGAGTGCATTCCTCCCTGGTATTGTTTACCTTATAGGGCTGTCTATTGTTTGGCTAAAAGTTGAGCCATAGTTGTAAGTTCGGTTCCAAGCTTGAAGGGGATCTAAGGGCCATAGTCTTAGGGGTTCCATCATCCTCTATCCGGCCAGTAAGTCTGGTCTTTTTTATGATTTTCAATTTTGTTCCACATTTTTCTAGGGCCTCCATTTTTCTAGGGAGCAGAAATCCCTTTTGTTTCCCCAAAGTCTTGGGGGCTCCATAGCAAGAGGGAAGGAGGTACTGGGAAGTCTGTATTCAGTGACATTGCTGATAGGGGCAAAAGGGTTTAATTGCCCCTGAAAAACCTCAGACAGAGGGTGTATGTGTGAGGAGCAGAGAAAACAGTTTGGAAAACAACCAAGAGAGGTTCTAAAGTCTCTTATAAGAGCTTCTTTTTAAGAAATTTTCCTGAAAATTTTTGTTTCCTGGATGCACATTTTCAGGCCAGACTCTTTTAGTAATTCACTTTTTGTCCTCTTGTCCAACCTTTTCTAGTAGCCATTCCTTGCAGTTTTTTAACCAGCACCAATTCACTGTACTTCTGTTCTCCACTTTCTCTGAACAACTTCCTCTTCTCTGTCAAAAATTATGAACTTAGCAGCAAGCATCAAAGAGGCAAATCTGTGATTTTTTTTCCCACAAATGTTAACCCAAAAGTTAACCAAGTTAGACGAGACTTAGAAATGTTATTTGCCAAAATGCCCAGGGATCAAGTTACAGGCCTCACATGGGGCTCTCAGTATGAGGTAGCAGGCTGTTCGAGCAGAACAGACTCTCTTTTCCTATTGAAACAGTTTCGTAGTCTTTCATAGAATTTCTTAAAATCCTCATCTAAATTTACTCCTTACTAGAATTCTAATCTTTTAAGAAATCCTCAAAAATGAAGAGCCAAAAGCCACAAAGAGCACGAGGTAGATACAAGTCCAGCTCTCTGGTTGCTTACAAGCTCGAAATCCCTAGAGAGTGTGTAACAAAGGGGCCTGCTGTTTGCTTTGCTTAATCTGGTCTTAAAATCTCTGCTTCTTTGTCAGAAAACAATATTTGCAATTGTAAAAAAAAAAAATATTTACCAAGGAACTTGGATAGCATAAGTCAAAGGCTAAGAGCCAAAGGTCAATAGTTCTTACCCCAAATTTCCCTGGACCTGAGAGTCCCTGCTGTAGAGCTCAGCTCCACCAAACAAATACATTGCTCTCAGGGTCCATTAAGAAGCAGACATCTGAGAAAGGGAAGGAAAGGGATGGCTGTAGCCTATTCCTCAGTCAGAAGCATGAACTCTCCAGCTTGCCCCACAGAATCCCTGCTAGACCTTTGCAATGCAATAGTCTGCACAAGGAGACTCACCCTGTTTCACAAACTAGGAAAATATTCAACTTACAAATTCCTAAAGGACAGATGTTCCTCATATGGGCAGCAATGGTAGTATGCTCCCCTGTTCCCCTGTGGTCTAGGCCAGATGCTCACCTGCACATCTCTGTGGCCTCTTGCCTGACAGAGAGGGACAGATGATACACATCTTGAGAGCCTCTGTGGGGACTCTTAACTCACAAAGCAGTTGACATGTACCCCATGGGCTGATTCTTCTAAGTTCAGTGTTGTTAACATTTACTTCTCTTGTTAATCGTTTTCTGGATAGACCTGCAGTTGGGCACCACTAACCATTAGAGTGTCCAGCAACTAGGATCGATCCACTACTTGTAGATCAAGTGAGCTCCAAGTTGTGGCCTTGGAGTGCTCCACCATGAGCAAGAACTCAGCTCCTTTCAAGTCTCAGTGCCACATCACAAGGTACAGGTCAGCAAGGCCTGGTCCCTAGGGGAAGAGCCCTGCTAGGACTTGAAAATAAGAAAAGAAAATGGAGGAACTAGAAGGAGACAGAGGAAGTAGGGCTCATAGAGCCATGACAAAATGTTCCACAGGCTCCCAACCCAGACGGTTCTGCAGCCTGCGGAGCAAGACGGTGCTGTGCCAGTGCTGACTCCTCCACACTGGTTTCAGAGACTCACTGCCCTGTCCCTCACTCCGTAGGATCTGACAGGAGGACGAGGTTGGTAGCAGTTCCTAACTTGCTTGGTTTGAGACTCATTCTTTGGTTATCTCACTGTTAAAAAATCCTGTAGTTCTCTTTCAACCTCAATCTGTCAAACTCTTGCTGCAACTGCCAATTTCTTGGATCTCATCAGGACAAATATCATTGGCCAATTCATGTTGGCCTTTTGCTGTCCTGAAGTAGCTTCTATCAGGACCATAGTAGCAATTACCACCGGCAATGGGCAGCACTGAGCAATGATTAGCTTAAAGAAATGGCTTAATCCAAGGATCTTACCTTGAAGAACCAGGCCTTCCTCCTTGATGGTGTAGAAAAATGAGGTGAAAGGAGCCAGAGGGGACTTGGCAATGAGAATCTGCACACAAAGCATATTTTCCCAAGTTAGTCAAAGGAGACAGTATATATGAACCTTTATTCAACCCTCTTCCCAACAAGTGTTGAGACAGAGTAGTAACATATGACTTTAAGCCATAAAGTTTATTTTTTTTCAAAAACTATCTGAAAACTAAAACTTCAAATGAGTTTTATCCCTTTAATGTTGTCACCTTGAAAAGCCATACATTTATTCTGCCACTGAATGCTTCTAGAAATAGTCTTGTTACTTTATGTCACTTACTCAAACTACTTTTCTGTCCAAAGACAAACTGAGACTGATTTTCTAAGTTTATTCATCAAACTTAGCTATTTTATTAAAACAAAACACCACTCTTAAAAGATAAAGATTTACCATCACTGTAAATACACCTACTCCTCACTTATCACCTACCTCATTATCTGACATTTCACATTTATGACAACGGTAGAAAAATCCACTACCCAACTATTTTGCACTTTAACGATGTATGTTTGGCAGTAAGGGATGCCCAAGTGCAAGGTGAGAGTAATGCTGGCTGTGAAGGTTAGGGTTATGTGTCAACTTGGCTGGGCCATGGTTCTCAGTGGTTTGGTTATATAATGATATGATTTGGCAGTTACATACTGATGTAATCTTCCACTTACATAATGATACAGTCATCTTCCATTTTGTGATCTGAGGTGGTCATTCTCCATTTTTGCATAATGCCAATTTTCACACAATAACCTGGTCTTTGGAATCTAACCATGTTGATAAATGAAAGGTAAGTATATTCAAAATAACTTGCTAAAGTCAATGCTACCTATGGTAGGGTGTGTTGTATATTGTTGACCCCAATTCTTCCTCCCTGTCTGTATTCATGCCCTTTGCCATATGACTGATTTCCTCTTAGTAAAGGGGTGGAGTATTTCCCATGGCCCTTGACTGTGGGTTTGGCTACATGACTTGCTTTGGTAAACAGGTTGTGCTAGTTCCCAGCCAAGCCTCAAGAAACCTCACATATTTTCAATTGTTCACTTATGCTCTCCCAATGCCAAAGAACAATACATTAAAGTTAGTCCACTGTTTTAGAAGAATGATGAGAGTCACCTGGAGCAGAGCTGCCCAGCTGGGTCCAGTCAACCTCCAGAGATCCACATGCATGTGAGTTACTTATGCATGTGAGTTAACTCACATGCATGTGAGTTAAGCATGTGTTTACTGCTATATGCCTCTGAGATTCTATAGTTATTACAAAGCATTATTGTAGCAAGAGTTGACTGATATATCAGCTAAAACAAAATATCAGAAATATTTTGAGGAATGGAATTATCCTAAGAAAATATTTACTTTAAAGGGAATGACGGTCATTTAGTCATTAAAAAATCAGTATCATTAACCTACTATCACATCTCTCATGGTTCTGTAGAACCTCTAAGGACTGGTGGATTGCTTTATCATTTCTATTAAAGGAAGATGAATATTTTTTTCATGTTTTACAAATAAAATAATCAAAAATAGTAATGGTTTGGCACAAAGCCACTTAGGTAAGTAATCAAGGAGTGTAGCGCAGTGAATTTATTACTATGTCTCTCTCAGCCACAGTCCTCCATTTTGTGATGTATTGTAAATCCTAGCCTCTATACCTGTTTAGGGTGGTATGAATCTTTAGCTCAAGTCACCAGCCTTAGTTTTCTTGAGGGTATACATGGGAATGTTTTGGGAAAGTCTGCTCTCCCTTGCTTGGGATCCTGCATTTATTTGTCATCATCTCACCCCTGGACTTGGGACAGCAGCCCGTTGTCTGACCTGCTGATTTGGATTTGCCATCCCCTGCAAGCACATGAGTAAGGAGGATCCTCCAGACCTATGCCTGACCCATGGATTTGGGACTTGCCAGCCTCCCAGCCTCCACTGTGTGAGCCATTTCCTTGGCAGCTTGTGTGTTCTGTGAGACATTACAGTGAAATATGGAACCCTAAGACAGGAGGGAGAGGACTGAGGGGAGGAGGAGGAGGAGGAGGAGGATGAATTGATGTTAGAGATGATGGAGTGGTACAGCAATTTAGGAAAGTTAGACATTTGGGACTCTTTAACCTTCACCTCATAGAGACCAGCCTTGTGCTGATCCTTCAAAAGAAATTATTCAAGCAGGGAGGCAAAGGAAAGGAAGAAATAATCTTAAATAATCAGAAGGATCTCAATTCAATAAACATTTACTGACTGTCAATTGTGAGAAAGAATATAATGTGTTTGAATCCAGACTCTCCCATTAATTAGCTAGTAGTGCCTATGGCAGGGCCTACAATTTTCCCCTACTACCCATTCCCCCTTTTTCCTTTTGGTCAGTAACTCCCCATTTCACCATTTGCTTGCCTGTTTTGAAGCTAGATGTGATCATTTGACCAAGATTTGGCTAACAGAATGTGAGCTTAATTGACAGGCAGAACTCCCAGATTGTGTTTTCATAAGAAAATCATGTGCCCTTCCTTCTCTTTTCTTTTTTCCAAGGACAGGGAGCAGCCTCAACCATATGGATGTGGACAACATCCTGGGGGATAACGAAGCGACAAAAGAGAAGAAAAGTGGATGACCTCATAGAGCACTGACACTTTCTACCTGGGGTCATCTGTCTACCTTTAGACAGAGCTGCTTGTCTGAACGACTGTATCTCAGGGTGTCTTTGTTACTGTACTCATGCAGTGTTGCTATGAGTTGGAATTGACTTGATGGCAGTTGGTCTGGTTTGATTTGGTATCAAACACACAATAAATAACAGGTACATTTCCAATCAGTTCATCCCATATGCTCCCCAACTGTCTCTTAACTCTCACTCACCAAGAACCAATATAAATTGGATTTTCCAGAAGGAAAAAAAGTTTCTAGTTGGACCTCAAAATTCTTATAGCAGCTCTAAAGTTATCTAGAGAAACTTGCTCATCATTCTCAGAACCAGTGTCTTAGTTTCCTGGGGCTGCAGTAACAAAATACTACAAAGTGGATGGCTTTAAAGAACAGAAATTTAACATTTCTCGGATTTGGAGGCTAGAAGTCCAAATTAGGGTATCAGCCATGTCTAGGTCCCTCTGAGGGCTCTGAGAGAAGAACTGTTCCATTTCTTTCTCCTACCTTCTGGTTTCTGACAGCAATCCTTGGCATTCCTTTGCTGCTTATACATGTATCATCACATGGTGTCTTCCCACTGTGTGACTCTGTTTTCTTGTCCTCCCCTTTTATAAGACGCCATTCAGAAGGGATTAGGATCTATCCTACTCTGGTATGACCTCATTAACTGATAACCTTTTCAAACAAAGATGCTGTCTTCAAAGAAGGTCACATCCAAAGGTATAGGAGTTAGGACTTTTCAACATATCTTTTTTGGGGACACAATTCAATCCATAATAATCAGCTAGTAGATGTTTTAACTGGGCATTGACATTTTCACAGTAAGAACATCTCTGAAAAATTAAAGTAGTCTTTTCGGTCTGAGATAGTTTAGGGCTGGTTCAATGGAAAATTTAGAGGTGCCTTTAACTAGGGGAATGGAATGGCAGAAGAAAAGGCAATCAGTTCTTCTCAAACTTTAATGTGGGTGTGAATCACCTGTGGATCCTGTGAGCATGCAGATACTGAGTCAGTGGGTCGGAGAGTCTGCACTTCTAAAAGCTCCCAGGGGATGCTGATGCTGTGGTCCACAGGCCACATTTGTGTAGCAAGGTTCCAGGCAAGAGATTGGAGGCCTGGAGCTAGTTAGGAGGCTATTGTGATAATTTAGATTTGAGATGACAAAGGCCAAAACCATAGCTGTGTCAGGAAGAATGGGAAAAGAGAAATAGATGAGAGAAATAGAAATCTTTTGGTCAAATAGCAATAAAAATACACTAAACACATCCAAAGTCTCAGCCCTTTATTGTCTGCATATAGCAATTGGACATGAAACCAAAAATGTATAAATAAAAAGTATTCAATAAAGCATTATACTATATATTTGAAAATTATATTACCATTTTTATTTTATAGACTATAGATTCTAATGCCAGAAAAAAAGATGATATTCTAATGCTATAACAAATAGCATCTGAACTCTCCCCTTGAGAGGGGGAGCAGACAGATGATGGAGGTGGAACACTGCAAAGTTGGTGGCTTTTAAGTTCAGCTGTCATCTCATCCCTGAGTTATTGCAATAGCCTTCTAACTGGCTGCAAACCTTCACTCTATGAAAAGCCTTCAGCCCAACCCAGAAGTATCTCACACCTGGAGGGCCTTCTCTCCAGCGGGAGTCAAGGGACCTGGACAGGTCACTGATTAATGTACTGTCTTCTGGGGAAGAGTTTTAAAATGAATTATCGAAAGGATGATTTGTATGCAACAAGAAAAAGAGGAAATGATAATTTATGTCAGGTGATCCCCACTTTTTTTTTTTTTTGGATGGAACTTCTAGGTCAGAGGGTTACCACCAACATGAACTATCTGATTTCAGAAAAAATATTGACAAACTATCTCAATAGCTTTCTGAATAAAAGAAGACAAGTTGGATTGGATGCTAATACTATTAAGTGGACTTGTAAGTGACCAAAGGGTCAATAGCAATCTGGGGAGTGGGTAACAAACTCTAGAATAATGCACTGGGTTCTAGCCTTGACTCTATCACATCCAACATTCTTATTGACCAGGTAACATCAATGGAAACACAGTATCTGGAACATGGCAGGCCACTGATGGATTCAACCATATCCTACAACAAATACAACAGTGGGAAATAGAACTGACCAAAAACAAAAAACAAAACAAAACAAAAAACAACAAACCACTGTCCTAATAAGGCTTACATTCTAAAGGAGGCAAAAAGATAAGAAAATAAATAAAATATATAGTATGTTAGATGACTATCGGTGCTATGGAGGGGAAAAAAAAGCAAAGAAAGAGTTTAGGAAGTATATTGTATTGAGCAAAAGGGGTCAATACAATAGAGAAGACCTCTCTGAGAAGATGACATTTAATTAATCAGATGACATTAATCA